CCTGATCATAAAAACCGCTATCTCCTTATCATTTTTTTCCAACATTACAGTTTCCGTTGGAAAATTCTTGGCAATTTTTATTATGACTTTATTATGCATTCAATTGTTTGAAATTCAACTAAACTGAAATTTGCATATCGACACCCCCTCGAATTTATAATTAAATGGTACACTTGTGAGTTCATTTTGTTCAAGTGTAGGTAGAACCCCTGGCATAGCATGCTCATGGGATTAAACAATTGTCAATTTTAATATTTCACGAACATCTTTCGCTCGAAATCTGATTGAAGACCTTTTTTAAGAGAAAAGTCGCGCACGAAATGAACCGCCCTCAGGGTACAATCTGCAACGTGATTAAAAATATCAGCGAACAGGGCTACTCCACAGTCGTCGGCGACGTCTCTCGATATTCAGACATAGATATGAACTGAATTGTCATCATCAACATAACACGTGTATACTTTATATATATATTTTACCTCCTATTATCCTCAATGAAAACAGTTGTGTCAAAACAACACCTATAAGAAATCTCCCGAGAGGAATTGCAATATTCCAAGCGAAACTGATGGAGAGGAAGATGATAGTTTTCATGATTAGTTTATTCGCCATACGCTCTAAATGATTACAGATTCCTGTCAGGAAAGGTATAGTTTGTTGTCTGTATTTTCTACAATATTCAATTCATACGTTTAAATAAAATTCAAGTTTCCATGACAATTCATCTGCATTTATTGCGCATAATTTAGGAACGTTACACTTACAATTGATGAACAGACACTCACTGTAGTGTGTAGCTTCTCCGTTGTAGATAATAATTATGGTAGACGACAGTCACGTGATCTACCAGTGCAAATACGCCTGCCGAGAAAATTTAAAAACAAAACAAATATGCACATCGTTGCTCAATACACGAATAAATGATCTTTTCTGAAATATAACCAAGCCAACTCATCTGGCAGATATAAGGACCACATGTCTTGAAATGATAAAATGAATATCTCATTTATTATATAAAACAGTGTAGGCTATTACGCGCGTACGAGTTATGTCTTACCATGGGTGTACTAAGAAGTACATCCGGGGTCTTACTGAATTAGAATAATAGAAACCACTAGAGGGCGACATTACCTATTGGGACGGAATTTGACAAAAACACGAAAAGATAGTAGCGAAACAATTTACCCGGATAACAACCCTCTCCTCACTTAAATGACTGTAATGAACATGATATCATGCATTTTCTTTAAATCCGCTATTCCTGCGTTAAGTTCTGTTGAAGATTTTCATCGCGCCATTCTATCTTAGTGATACGACCGTCGATAGCTCAGAATTAATGAGTTCGTCGATCCCAAGCAGTCGCTTCACAGAAATTGAGTTTTATTTATGAAAACCACAGTAAAACTAATTATGGCAATTATTTTTTTGTAAACTTGAACCGGAAATAGTTCTGTGTGTAATTTTGCGGCAATTTACCGCTTGTCATAAGTTGAGATTCGTTTTTTTCCAACAAATTTAAAATATACTAAAGCATTATATAAATTGTTATTATAAGAACGTTTTTTGTTTAAAAAGAAACAGAAATAATATTTAGCAATGGCGTAAGAAATATGGCCTGGTTGTTTGGGCATATACAGTTATTTTCATTTAATAATAATATGTCTTGCTTTCGCTGACGTATAAATTGTACCATTCTGATAGAATAACAAACATGTTATGTCGTCCTGTTTACACCTGCTAGGGAGTACACAAACACGACATTCTTACGTTGGGTGCAAGTGAAATGTTCAAAAAATTACAATAGATCGTGGAATTGAACACAATCATGCATTATACTCGCAACCTGTTACATTTTTATAAACCTAGTAGTCTGCAGTAGCTTTAAATTCTGTCTAACAATCATCATTGTTGGTTTGACGACCAAACCACACCGAACATGGGCGAAATAAAGTAAAACATATGGGAGTATAATATATTTGATATGACTCAAGTGGTATAATATTAGTAATAACAATTCCAGTAAATAAATATAAAATAACCAAAACAGTAAGACAAAAATCACAATTTGAAAAGATGCATTAGATAGTTCACAATTTGAATACAAAATCTCGTGTGTCGAATCCACTGTTCCTTAAATAATAGTCTTGTGCGAACAAGTAAAAAAGATACAAATGTGTATTCACGCAACCAGACGGATGACTTGCTTCCTGAGTTGACAATGCGGACTGACGCATGCCTCGCTGATTTGCAACAACACTACTAGTAGTGACAATGGAATAACAGTTAGAGGATCACTGTATGTAAAGCCATCGCAATTCATTCCAAAAGCAACAACGGTTTCTTCTCATCTACGCCCTCTCGGTGAACCTCTGATTAAATGGGTTGAGTTTAGCCGCATGGCTAGTTTGTCCCTAGTTGTTTATTATCACCATTGTTGGCAATGAGTACAGAAATTCACGGATCAAGAATTCGAAAGGAGGGAAAGTCTTGCATCTGTCACGCTGTCGACTTTGAACCAAAATATAATCTTGAAAGCACAAACAAAGAAAGCAGATAATGCATGTACTTCGGTCGAGATAGTATTTGTGATCGGTTATATATGATCTTATCATAACTAAGGGTTACTGATTGATATCAAAGAGCTAAGAGGCATGTACACAAGTATGCACTGGGCGTTGATGCCCACATCAGTATTTCGCTATAGATGTTACATTGAAATAAAATATGGTGGGACTCGTACATTCTCAGAGACAACAGCAAGCGCCTCGTCCAACAATTCATGCCTTAATTTGAAAACAAAAAATGTTTTCATTTTTGTTTTGTTTATCAATTATTTTCATTACAGCTTTGAAAAAATCACATATACGAGTACTTGATATTCTCGTACATAACCAGGTTGTCAATCTGCTGGACATGATGTTTCATTGGCTCTCAAGTTCCATAGAATGAGTTAGTTCTATTATTCGAGATATGTAACATGTGATTACTTAACATTATTTGGGTTATACACACTCCGTGTCTATACAACGCTGTCCCCGAGTGATGAGAATGAACACTACAGTTGCGAAACAAGACAGACTGGTTTCAATACTACCGCGTGTAGTCATTATCGGGTTCATAGAAAGGAACTGTCAGTTCATAGACCGGAATGTCTGCCACTATAAAAATGTTTCCATTGTAATACATCATTATAATACATAATGTCATGTCTGCCTTGAGCATAAAAATATCATGTGTTATGAATGGTATAATGGTATAATGTGAATTTTAATCGTAGGTTGAGTCTGGATACAGGAATACTGACGTCTACATCTTGGTGACACACTTTGTAGATAAAAACCAGACTATTGAATCAAGACTCTTATTTATCTATTTGGAACACCGCTGCGTCATTATTACCTCATTTTTGTTAATGTTTGAAGTGTGTATAGCTCATCGTTATGGATTTCTGTAAAGTGGATTGTGGGTATAGTTATTGGAATGTGTATTTTTCTTTTTATATGAGAATAGCGTAACCACATCGAGGAATATGTCTGTAATGTTTAGGAAAACCTTACACAATGAAGCAAATGTCAAGCTGTATAATTCCCATGGGGCGACCTTGCCCCTTGCTCCTTGTCTCCTATTAAAAATCCAAGTATAAGAATTTTCTAAACTTCCACAAGGCATCACTGACCACTTTGACTCGATGTCATGACTATCGATTGACTTTTATGATTGATTGCACCATTTGAGAATTAAATCAATTATAACTGCCCTTTGTTCGATTCTGACATATGCTTGTTCAGTTATACTTTTCCCACAATGCCGTGCGTGCCTTTGTGAATGTGGATATCAGACCAAAACGCATTCGGTAATAGGGCATTCACTAGCAATTGAACTGTTTTCCTGCTTTATTTTGCCTTCATGTATGCGTTGTCTACGAAATATACCAGTTATATTGTTGTTTATTTGAAATATGCGTGTATATTTGTGTGATTTTACTAATTTATTCCTCTCTGTGCTATCAGATTAATTTACCGATGACGTGGACCAATATTAATATTTAAATACAGTATATCAGTTTATGGTCATGTTTGTCTTGTTTTTGTGGTTAAATCCGAATAAATGTTAGCATAATGGCATAATAGAAATGCAAAAGACAGCTACAGGAGACTTTCAATCACGACTGACTTGTATGTTTCTATTTGTACGTTTCCTTTCAGAAAGGACACATATGTATGTTAATGTCGATTTTAACACAACTTGTAAAACCCATTATTTTTCACCTTGGACTTCCTTCGAACCAAATTGAAAATTAAACGCCTTGTTTGGACAATTAACACAATATTGACCAAGTACTATCCAGTGACTGGTATTTTGGCAGATAATGTATACTGAGTGATGGTGCTTCCAAAACGACTTCAGAGAACCGTGACCAAATCTAGTAGTTTTCTCGCGTTATGGTAATTCGTCGACTGATTGTAAATTTACCGCCGGTTGGAATACTGTCCCAGTGAGCCCCGTCTCAAATTAGGAAATCGCAATCTTTTTTTTCGTAGTCACACAAGTATCCATATTTTCACGCTACGTTCTTGCTTCTTCAGGTCCAATCTCACTCTTGGAGCATTACATCAAATTTTAAGACCCTGTTATTCACTTGTCGACAATTCGACATTGAACCAGTCATCAATCAGTTTAGAGAACGGGGAGTGGGTATGACGTCACGTATAGTTATACGTGAAATGGTGAATGGGTACGGTACAACTGACGTATAAAAAGACCTTCAAATCAACAATAAAAGTAATCATTGTATTTTAATGTCTTCTAAATGGGCAGCCAATACTGCAATTGTCCTAGCTTATTACTGATATGTATATTACCTGAATGATTATAACCCGAAAATGCAATTAAATAAACATGAATACAAAATCAAAATCAAATCTGGATCTCAACAATTCCTGTTTCGATAAATCCAATCCCGTGGTGCACTTTATCTGTGTAAACAATATTCTAGGAATAGAAGGAACAACGTAACAGTGCAATTACACGCAACGACATTATTATATGCGTTTTAGTGTTAGTGATGTAATCATTCTTTGTGTTTCATTGTCAATGTGTTTCAGTAATGTTTCTATACATACGTTTGGTTTTAACAGCACAGCCGTGCGCCCACAAAAGATGAGATGCAGCGTGGAATCACCGCAATGCAAGTCGGGATTTAGAAGTGAAATGATGTTAAAGATTTTAGATCTATTTTTTTTTTCAAATTACCTTCTAATAATTTTTCGAGTGTAATCGTACACATATATGAATCAAAACCGTAGCATCATTGTATTGAACATAGGTTCATAGTAGACAGCTAATGACAATTAAATAATTCACTTGAAAAGTAGCTTTTCATAACAATATCTTAAATCGTAACGTACATAACGTCGTAAAAAGGGTAAGCTAGGGAATAATGCTTGTATATTTGGTTTAATGTCAATAGATCTCAGACTCATATGACCGCCAAGATCTCGCGAGAAGGCCACAAGACTTGTTATGCTCTTCAACTTGTTTTTCGTCATGATCCACTCCCGTCATCGCGTTTTTTGTTTCACTGATATGTGTAACTATGTGTATTTGCAACAGTCACGGTGGACGCGATGACGAGAGAAAATAGAACAAAAATAGTCTCGCAATTCTCTCGTTTCCAACGAGATCTTAGCGGCCATTTACGTTTAAGGTCAATTATCCTTGTCAGTTATACTGTAGCTATTGGTAAATGTCATTTATATCGACGTGGTATATTGTCATATATAAGGTAATTTTTTTATGATATCATAATAACTCCACCCCCCTTCTCTGGTCATACAAATACAACGGATATTCTTGGCATTCATGTTTGGGTAGCATTTTTTTCTACGTGTTTTTTCATACAAAACAACGTCGGAAGTGACGTGTCATAGCAGCGTGGCCATAGTATCGTTTACACTGCGTCAAAACTTCGGCTCATAGTGGGTCTTTGTTAACATGTTGAATAAACGACACCAAGTTCGTATTATTGTTGAAACGTCTGAACATAAACTGTCCACTTATAGAAAATAATGGCGTTAAATTTGATCGTGTAAGAATTTGGAATGTCAAAGGCAGTTCGAACACCCATTCATTGTTAACCACTTCCAACATCACGGCTTTTACTGCGCCGTAGATTTTCTCCCGACATTATTTTTGAACAAATGTTTTCGCGTTTTCCGTATTTTTATCTAAATTCGATGATAATTTTTGACTAGACGTGTACAATTTTGCAAAGTTTGCGTGATTAGATAACAAAACTGTTGGAATTGGTTCAACATTTGATATGGAAAAGAACAGGTTGTAATTACTATGTGAAACGATGACCGGCGATTGAATTCATTTGTAATCACATGACTTCCGTTGGCCCAACGACAATGTACACCTATTCAATAAAAAAGTATCATTCAGCCGAGAACTTCATATTAATACTTCAATCCCATCTTCTTGTTAAGGAAGAATACTTGTTGTGTATAAATTATTACCAATTCTGCTCCAATCTTTTCATCGCGTTTCGACCAATTTTATTGGTTACAAATACTAGCTCGCGCCACTGCAGAGGAACAATTTCCATGTCTTCCAAGCCACGCTTTCACAAAATCTTCCGTCATTTAAAACGTGGATGAAAGAGAATAATAGAAAGAGCGAAATGTATTTACAACAACAATTTACTTGAACTTGGCATCACATTCACTGATGTGTACACAGTATAGTTAACTTACAGAGAACCGTGTTTAAAATTGACACAACGTGAACTGAGTCGACAATGGATTGGCATTTGTTTATCGAAAAAAAAAAACGATAGATACCAACGCACTCCCACGACTAACGTGCATCCAGGCAGAAACATTGACGATCCAATCGATTTCACAGATTTTGTGTTTGTTTTTGTTTTGTTTTGTTTTTGAAGTATTATTGCAAATTCAACAAGCCGAGTATATGTTTTTTAATTTTCAAACTTTAAGAACGTTACGGCAGTTGGTAACCATCAAAATATATCTTCAGATTCAAGTTTGTCCTTTACAACTTTGTTTTATTTTATGATGTTGTTCACAAAACACTAATTAAAATTATATGGTGACTGAATTAATTTTTCGCACACAAAAAAATCACCCACGCATATATAGCTGTCTTTGTGCAATTCGCCATTCGGTTTCCATAGTAATAGTAAACAGACCTCATCATATAGTCTCAAAGATGTTCACCGGTAACCTATCCGAAAAAAATATTGATTTGATCGGTATTTACTTTATGGCTGTAATGACTATTAAGAAATTATAATTAATGATTTTTAAAAGGCGACAGTCGTCGTGCCGCGTCCTGTTTGATATGGGACCCATAGCGACGTATACAACGCGTGTAAAATACATTGTTTATTTACATGAAATTCGAACACGCGCTGCGCGACGACCACCGCGCTTTAAAGAAAGAATGCTTTAACCGACAGTGGATTTTTTTTTCAGAATTTTGTTTCTGGTAAAAAAAAAAACATGTTGATGACTTGAAATGTGAGTATTTGCCAAATGATTGTTGAATGACCGCGAATGTGGGGGTCTAGGATGTCTATCAGAATGATATTTCGAAATGATGCGGTGTCCGCCATTTTGATTTTCCAGCAAGGAATTGTGGGTAAACAATGACATCAGAGCATCTCTTGCACAAATTTGAGAAATTGAATACTGAATATTTTGTGAATTAGAATGTTCTTGCAAAGACACTAATAGTAATAAATATATTGCCAAAAGGGAAAAATCGGTATTTTGGTCGTTCAAAATGCAATGACACTTTTTTGTTACCCTTTTATGGTTAATAGGTTACATATATCGCAATAAGGCACTATCATCGATAAATTGAATACAAAATACTACGAATTGAAGATTTGGTAGAAAATATTATATTTTAATTTCTGCTGCCTTCAGTTGACAGCCATTTTATAAGCATGGCAATTTGAATTCCTCTATCAAAAATTATAGATGAAATCATTTTTTCACAACAGTGTCTATGACGTCACACTTTACCCACAATCCTTTGTTGGACATCAAAATGGTGGGCTCTATATACTGATGAAAAGTATGTAGAGAATGAAAAGTCATATACAAATATTAAAATTGCATTCTCCTTTATTTGCGGAGATTTTCACATGAGAGCCTAGACTTATAACTTTAATACCACGTCTACTCAGAAGAATCCGTATTCCGTTGCCATGGAAATAGTACACATCTGTAGAATTATCAAAATGAGTAACACATCTGAATTTACTAATTTACAAAAACGTGGATTATGGACCCCTCAACTGACTTATATCGACCATAACCGTATTCCAAAACACCACGTGTGTTATTAATGAAAAATTACATAATGTCGGTGATATAGGCTGCGAACACTTATAAAATGCCCGGCAACACCCACTAGAGAACCAGAATCACGACGAATTCAACCATAAATTTTCATTCTGTTCCCAACACACTTAATAAGTATTTATCGACTTATTGAATGAATTCACTTCGTCTACCCCCGATCGGACGTCACTGTGGCCAATCATCCGTTTTCTGTCTGTCAAGATTTCTGCCCACAGTAATGGGGTACCAGTGTTTACTTACCACTCCAAGTTAACAATCTACTCAAATGTGTCGAGAGAATCACCCAAACCAATTAGTGCGAAATGCATAGAAGACTCATATAATGTTAAATCCGTGCTGCATATATGAAATAAATATATTAATATATGATATATTTCGATATTTTTTCATAAATATCGATTTATATATCTGCTTTAAATAGTTACACGTATTGGGCATGTTGCCAACTAAAGCCTGACACATTATACCACTCCACTGCCGTCCACTCTCCTTGTATTTTAACTTCCAAATCGACATGATCTGAGTTGAAATCGAGAATAACAAAGACTTCTTCTTAATAAAGTTGGGAAGTTGTTTTCAAGGCATTTAGAATCAGTTCAGTTTCGCCTATGCTGAACTTCCGATAAGTATCACAGCATTAGCCATTTTTTTGAACTTGTTAATTAGTCAATTGACTAATAGGGAGTAAAATACCACGAAAGATCACCATGTATTGCTCAAAATTGCATCACTGTAACATAGTTATATCGTCAGTCAAGACAATGGGGCAGTCACTGTTTTTTCGTGACGGTGGAGAGGACATATCAGAGTCCGATCCCACACTGTTGTAGACACGTGATTTAGCAGCCACGTGCATGCTACGTAAACGAGCCATCTCGTCCGCGTTGATTCCAAGGGCGTTCAAATTTCGCTTCTCGTTTTTCTTCGTTCCTATACTATCCCGCTGTCCCGGAAATGCCGGCTTTCTTTTTTCGTTATTCTCCGCCGATGATTTTGAACATGATCGGGACGATCTCCGTCGACGGAAAGCGCCCACCACCATTTTTGCCGCTCCTTCCGTTCTCGGAAATGGTGGCGGGCTTCCCTCTTCTACCGCTATGGAATTCCGTTTCGCCAATTTCTCGTTCTGAGATTTGCGAACATCTTCTTTTGAAGCTTTCCTGGCGAATGCGCGTACGGCGACGTTGACGAGTGATGGGCGTCTCCCCAGCCGAGATGTCGTAACTTGGTTTTCGGTTTCTTCGCTAACGGTCGACAACTTATGGTCGCGGTGATACCCTCTTACGGTCGATGGCAAAGAGGGCGGTATTTCTTCCTGTGGTGGTGTTTTAGGGCGAGCTCTTTTACGATACGAGTTTGACACATCCACCTCGTATCTTTGAAACAATTTACGTAATTCCTGTTTACATGGTTTCTGATCTTTGCAGGGGTCACGGTTTCTGTTTTTTCGTTGACGGCGCTGTGGCGATCCACGCATACGACATCCAGTAATTTCGCCTTCCTCGTTATAATGTACATAGTACGCGGTGTCTGGGGAAAACTTGGCTGTTATGCGTTCGCGTATACTTGCCGAATAACACTGTATAACTGGTCTGCTGTAACAATGGGAAGATGGACGTGACAATTCCAAGCCGGATTGCGGACGTTGTTTAGCTTCAATAAACGTAATGCTCGCTGATGCAGAACTATTATTACTTGAACTGCGGCTGCTTTCCTGGGATGGCAATCTGGCTGACCTCGGTGTCCTAAGCCCGTCGAGGTTTAGGTGGGGTAAACCCGACGAACGACTTGATTGCCCGTCCGTTATCAAGGATGCTAAATTATATCTCGACAGTGCATATTCCCGTGTCCATTCTTTCGCGTTCCGCTTTTCGATTTTATCTCGATGTTTCTCATTTGCTTGGCCGTCGTGTATTAAAACGTCGGCACAGTCGACGTGATTACGCCGGCAAGCCTCCAACAATGGAGTCATTCCATCTTTATTTGGTTTATCAACAGTCTGCTTATAACGTTTTAAAGTCTGTACTAATAGGCTTGCTATGCGAACATTGCCCGTAGCAGCGGCGTACATTAACGCCGTATTTCCCAGCTTATCCGTCGCATTCAAGTCGAAGTCGATTGCGTTCAAGTAAACACGAACAAGTTTCTCCCTTTGGTACATACAAGCATAGCCCAAAGCGTTGAGACCCTGTCGATCACTGTATCCGATCATACCACCATTTTCTAACAACATCCTCGCAATACCGACTGCCCAATCCTCCTCTTCTAATAAACTACACACTATTAGCGGTGTCCGCTGTTGTTGATCGCGGACGTTCACGTCGGCCCCGCTGGACACAAGCAAACGCAGCTCGTGGAAATATCCCTTGCGTAAATAGGCGTGCATGTCCGGGAAACCTTTCATCGCGGGTCTACTTGGCATGTCTATACCGCGATTGGATCGCATCCACTGAGAAAACAGAAAATAAATCACCGATTATGTCGTACAGTTTTTATCCTGGCCTTTTCTACGTCACTGTCCAGTTGTTGAACACGTGAACAGCTGTTCATGGAAGCAGTCGAGTATATACAGCGACTCGACTAGCATACTGTCATCGCCGAAGCCCTGATACTACAATATCTAGCCGTGTGGATGTTTCTAAAGATCTATGTAATGAGAGTGCGCATTATCAATGGGGGGCGCCGACTATAAAAAAATGCGATTTTCACGAACAAGTTGAATGAAAAATAATCCATAAAATAACACACTCCATAAAACGGCAAAGACATTGTGCCTCAACAAGCAAGTCATTAAACGCAATCAAGGTCGCTACAGGTGGAAATACCAACATCATCTGCTCACCGCCTTTATATAGTTCCTGTGCGGGTGGATTCCATCGTGGCGCAGTCCAAACCGGTTTTGAACTGTATTTGTTTTTTTCGCGCTGATAAATGTTGCACGGAGCGGTGCGGTTACAACTCTTCTGGCGATGGGGCAACACTACTGCCACTTCTTACGCCATTTGACTGTCAAAGGGAAACGGGATGTTGTAGCTGGGGACCCCGCAGATCAATGTTACCAAGTCACGTGTATCGAGTATCCGTACACATAGTTTAGAAAGACACCGACGTTTGCCATGGCAACGTCTATCACAAATCGCCGTGCAGCACCAACGCGACTGAAATCAACGCATCCAATTTATATCAAGGAGTTTCAAGTCATTAACTCGACTAATTACATCTATCCTGGAGTTGGTGGGAAAAAAAAAAAAAAAAAAAGAAATTTCAAAAACGAAGACTTCAATTTTTGTTTTCGTCTGGGAAACCATCGCCGCCGCCCATCAAAACACGATATAGTTCCATATACTGTTGAAATTCGTCAAAATAATGTCAACAAGTTGCAAATAAAGGAACATTGCTTGTTATCGTCCATTAATATACTTGACTATTCGAATTAGGTTCAAGTTTGATAGACCCCCTGGTCGCAGAGTTCATAGAGCATGTGTATGTTTTCATATCGTATATTGTAAACAGAGCCTAACAGAGTGATTCGGCCACGTCTTGATAAATAGGCGATCGTAGCACAAAACAATTAAGTCAACAGTATACTTGTGGTGAAAACAGATAAACTCGCATACTACGTTTCAGCATCAGCTACTGGTGTATCATTATCGCACCACATTCGTTATCGCACCACAATCGCCTACGTTGTAATACATTATCGTGTAAGACAAGGCTAATCTGTGTAGCAGTATTAAAAACAGTTGTAATTAAACATGTTAATGCGCTGTATTGGGTAATATGGAAATCTGCGTCGACCAGTCACAGTAGCGTCCGCTGACGAGAGGGCGACACATAAATAACAAGTAAAGATATCGATTATTATCGCTCGTGAAAAAGACAGCGACAGTACGTGTTAAACTTGGATTGCCACGTTAATGAACGCTATCGATTACTGTTTGTCGCGTGACGATCGGTTAGATTCAAACAGGTGGTCGCCATTTTGGAAATGAACAACGGTGACGAGAAACTAACTTTTTTTCATACAATGGTTATTCAGTTATGTTAAATACTTCGACGAATGCAAACATAAATCATACTTAGTGCATGCGAACGAAAGTAATCTATTTGACAAGGTAAAATGAACAACTTTGAGGATTTCAAAAATTGTTGTCACAATTGAGCATGCAAGGTGAAAGACGGTGTATTCATTTATGGTACATGGAAGAAGAGACCATGCAGACAATATTGCATCAATATAATATTTCAAATCTGAGCGTAAATAAATTTCCTACGTAGCGATAATAATTTTTGCTTTGGAACGCGAATTAAGAGAGTGAACCACCGTGTAGGCATGCCATTTAAACCGACTGGATATGATTTTTCACCTTGAAATTACCACCATTGAATAAAAGTGGTGGAAACAGGCGGATTTGGTAAGTCGAAATCCAAGTTGTAATGAAAAAAAAACAGCCCGTGCCTGAAAACACCACCTGTTGTACGGGAATTACGTTTTCATTATTGTCCACATTTTTGATTGAATGGTCTATACAAATAAGGAACAGTCACCAATAACTCCCCTACTTAGAATGGTTTGTGTGGCATTAACAGTTTCCAGAGGCGGAATTAAAATAACGCTGTTGCTCGATTTAAATCCTGGTTATTAAACACAGCTTACAATATTCTGACTTGTTGTTGAAATCGGTTCACATACAACGGATACAGACGGGAGTAATCTAATTTCCGCTGCTCCCGCCAGCCGTTAATAATTGTACCACAACATATCCTCGTCCCACGACAAGACATTTGTCTAAGTTAGTACTACGGTATGAATGAAAATACGTTTTATTTACTTAGCGTAAACGGTGGTAGTCGTCGTTGAGTTCCTTGTGGGTCCCATGCGACGCTTACAACGCATGGAAATTTTGTTTTAAAATTTAGAACGCGCGCTATCCGAAGACTGAATATCCCTTTAACCGATGCTACAGGCATGTCCAACTTGTTTGCGTTGAATTGAGGAACATGACACATAAGTCTGCATTTTAATTTCCGTAAGAGCTCTTGCCAAATTACTGTCTAAATCGACTTCGCAACTTTCCTTGGGATCGTGATGAACGGCATTTCATTGTTGTTCCCTGTACAATGTGTGTTTGTGTAGAGATATGCATTGTAAATTATTGAACATCGCGACGACGCCGGTGTTTGCGTAGTATGGTAAATCAATTTTGGTCGAAGCCTAGTACAAACATATACATATATTCGGAGCAAATATTCGCTAAGCTGTGTACACCCCACGAACTCGACCAACGCGTCTGTGACAACGGCGCGTACAAATTACCACGAAACAGCTGTTTTCAATTGGCTGCTCGCTCGTAGGAGGCATTCTACCTACGAAAGTAACGATGATCGTGTCAGAGAATCTGCCTAGTATTTGTGGGAAATGGAAATTAGGGAATGTGTCGACGCTAATGTTTTTCGCTGACAAATATGGTCACAAAATTGGCGGTGCATGCAAATTGTTGTTTGCCTTACGTAATACGTAATCAATTATTTATTTTTATTTATTTGTTCACTTTTTTGAATATATGGTTTTAGTGAATAATAATCATACCATTTCATGTGTATTGACATTGTAACAACACGCTACCACTGACCCAGTGCAGCCCACGTCTCGGACGTTGTTACTCAGACCAAATGAAGGGAGATTAGTCAATTTTACTTACTGAAACGTAGTATGTACATAGTTTGTAAATTATAGCATTCCAGCGGTGTCCCAATCTTACGATTGGCAACGCATGATGACAACGCAGCCCAGCGAGTTCAATTCTGATTAATATCGCCAAAAGGGATATGCGTCACTGCGGTTGGCAGCTTCGTAAAGTCGTAAAGAAGTTACACATAATTGAAATTTAAACAGTATCGGTATGAGTGTATTGAATCTAGATCGGTTCATTAATTTGTCGATAACAAGTTACTCAGACTGTCAACTGGGTGGCAAGGCAAAACTATTTAATACATTGTAAACAACTGATTCGTAACAGCTTATTGCGCAGCCCCGTCAGTCTCATAACGGTGGGTGCCCGTGTCAGAATTTACTATTGGATAATTACCAAGGACTGCGATTACCTACTAACATTTTCTATATTTATCAGCAGTTTTCCTCAATTTCAGAATTTACGTATGCGAGTGCGGGAACAGAGAAAATAAGAAACTTAGCAGTTGAATATACCACCATGTAGTGACGTGGAACAGTGGCTTCTTGACACACTAGTAACTGAAATATTTTCTCTTCTTGTCACACCGTTAACCGGGACAGCCTAGACTCGTGACCTCGTGACCTCTATTCAAGAGAAGAAATACTACCCTTCATCCCGCACCCGTTTACCAAGCATCGCTACCGGATTATGTCAGTAGTCAGTTAAAACAATTATGGTGAAGAAACACTCGACTTGAAGAGACATCATCTCCTCAATCGAAATAAATAATACTATTAGTAGTCTTAGATATCATTTCATCCATCACCCATCCCTTGTTATCACGCCTCTGTCGCCGGAGTGTCTTCCAGATAAGACGGGCGAAATGTACAACAAATTGCTTCAGAAACTTTATAGTTTTTTGGCAGGTTCTGGTTCTTGATAAAAATAACTTATTGAATCTGTTTGTACTGATATTTTTACCTTGATACCTAGATGTGATTCAGTGATTAGCAGAAAGGTTGTGGGATCGATTCCTCTCAGTCAACTGTCCATGCAACTATCACAAAATAAATTAGAATACATTCCGACTAGACCACAAAACACACAGTATTAGGGTCAATAGAATGACGTCATATCGGATGGGGGAAACTGAACTCAGTCTCAGTGTGTGCTATCATCCCCAGCGTATTATCGTTCACCGAAGCCATTGGATGATCATGATTGTCAGCCAATCATCACAATATCCATCGCCTGTTGATTTAATTAATAACTAATCTGTAAACAAATAAACAATTTTGTCGACATGCGGGTGATTTCAATTGTATGTGAAAGATGGGTTTATTGTTTGATTATCCGCTGAGTTGTTTTAGCTCGATTCTCACATCATAATTCTGTCGTTGAGTTTATCCTCTTATGTAAATTTTATTGTTTCAAGTTTTGACTAAATTATTCCTTTTTTTAAATACAGAGCCAAATTTATCAAGTGAGGTCAATTCCTCAAATATTGATAAAAATTGTGTTAATCAGTCCATTGGCGGAAGTAGGCGACCGAGGGGAACAGTGATGATATATTGCACTCAGTGATAATAAATAACACAGCCCGCTGTGACCTGTCACCTGCACAGTTAATACTAGAACAGAGTTGTTTTTATCACCTCATGTACGTTGTTTCCCAGATAAACAGTGTGTTTATTGAAATCGTCTTTCAAGATTATTCAATTTGGAGATACTCGTCAAAAGTGTAGGA